TGTAGACATACTGGTGTTATGGACACTGTAGACATACTGGTGTATGGACACTGTAGACATACTGGTGTATGGACACTGTAGACATACTGGTGTATGGACACTGTAGACATACTGGTGTATGGACACTGTAGACATACTGGTGTATGGACACTGTAGACATACTGGTGTATGGACACTGTAGACATACTGGTGTTATAGACACTGTAGACATACTGGTGTATGGACACTGTAGACATACTGGTGTTATAGACACTGTAGACATACTGGTGTATGGACACTGTAGACATACTGGTGTTATAGACACTGTAGACATACTGGTGTATGGACACTGTAGACATACTGGTGTTATAGACACTGTAGACATAGTGGTGTTATGGTGTAGACATTATAGACACTGTAGACATACTGGTGTTATAGACACTGTAGACATACTGGTGTTATAGACACTGTAGACATACTGGTGTTATGGACACTGTAGACATACTGGTGTTATAGACACTGTAGACATACTGGTGTTATAGACACTGTAGACATACTGGTGTTATAGACACTGTAGACATACTGGTGTTATAGACACTGTAGACATACTGGTGTATGGACACTGTAGACATACTGGTGTTATGGACACTGTAGACATACTGGTGTATGGACACTGTAGACATACTGGTGTTATAGACACTGTAGACATACTGGTGTTATAGACACTGTAGACATACTGGTGTTATAGACACTGTAGACATACTGGTGTATGGACACTGTAGACATACTGGTGTTATAGACACTGTAGACATACTGGTGTTATAGACACTGTAGACATACTGGTGTTATGGACACTGTAGACATACTGGTGTATGGACACTGTAGACATACTGTAGACATACTGGTGTATGGACACTGTAGACATACTGGTGTTATAGACACTGTAGACATACTGGTGTTATAGACTGTAGACATACTGGTGTATGGACACTGTAGACATACTGGTGTATGGACACTGTAGACATACTGGTGTTATAGACACTGTAGACATACTGGTGTTATAGACACTGTAGACATACTGGTGTTATAGACACTGTAGACATACTGGTGTTATAGACACTGTAGACATACTGGTGTTATAGACACTGTAGACATACTGGTGTTATAGACACTGTAGACATACTGGTGTTATAGACACTGTAGACATACTGGTGTTATAGACACTGTAGACATACTGGTGTTATAGACACTGTAGACATACTGGTGTTATAGACACTGTAGACATACTGGTGTTATGGACACTGTAGACATACTGGTGTTATAGACACTGTAGACATACTGGTGTATGGACACTGTAGACATACTGGTGTATGGACACTGTAGACATACTGGTGTATGGACACTGTAGACATACTGGTGTATGGACACTGTAGACATACTGGTGTTATGGACACTGTAGACATACTGGTGTATGGACACTGTAGACATACTGGTGTATGGACACTGTAGACATACTGGTGTATGGACACTGTAGACATACTGGTGTATGGACACTGTAGACATACTGGTGTATGGACACTGTAGACATACTGGTGTATGGACACTGTAGACATACTGGTGTATGGACACTGTAGACATACTGGTGTACTGGTGTTATGGACACTGTAGACATACTGGTGTATGGACACTGTAGACATACTGGTGTTATGGACACTGTAGACATACTGGTGTTATGGACACTGTAGACATACTGGTGTATGGACACTGTAGACATACTGGTGTTATAGACACTGTAGACATACTGGTGTTATGGACACTGTAGACATACTGGTGTTATAGACACTGTAGACATACTGGTGTATGGACACTGTAGACATACTGGTGTTATGGACACTGTAGACATACTGGTGTTATGGACACTGTAGACATACTGGTGTATGGACACTGTAGACATACTGGTGTTATGGACACTGTAGACATACTGGTGTATGACACTGTAGACATATATGGACACTGTAGACATACTGTGTGTATGGACACTGTAGACATACTGGTGTTATGGACACTGTAGACATACTGGTGTTATGGACACTGTAGACATACTGGTGTTATAGACACTGTAGACATACTGGTGTTATGGACACTGTAGACATACTGGTGTTATGGACACTGTAGACATACTGGTGTATGGACACTGTAGACATACTGGTGTATGGACACTGTAGACATACTGGTGTTATAGACACTGTAGACATACTGGTGTTATGGACACTGTAGACATACTGGTGTTATAGACACTGTAGACATACTGGTGTTATGGACACTGTAGACATACTGGTGTATGGACACTGTAGACATACTGGTGTTATGGACACTGTAGACATACTGGTGTTATGGACACTGTAGACATACTGGTGTTATGGACACTGTAGACATACTGGTGTATGGACACTGTAGACATACTGGTGTATGGACACTGTAGACATACTGGTGTATGGACACTGTAGACATACTGGTGTTATAGACACTGTAGACATACTGGTGTTATAGACACTGTAGACATACTGGTGTTATAGACACTGTAGACATACTGGTGTATGGACACTGTAGACATACTGGTGTTATAGACACTGTAGACATACTGGTGTTATAGACACTGTAGACATACTGGTGTTATGGACACTGTAGACATACTGGTGTATGGACACTGTAGACATACTGGTGTATGGACACTGTAGACATACTGGTGTATGGACACTGTAGACATACTGGTGTAGACATATGGACACTGTAGACATACTGGTGTTATAGACACTGTAGACATACTGGTGTATGGACACTGTAGACATACTGGTGTTATAGACACTGTAGACATACTGGTGTTATAGACACTGTAGACATACTGGTGTATAGACACTGTAGACATACTGGTGTTATAGACACTGTAGACATACTGGTGTATGGACACTGTAGACATACTGGTGTATGGACACTGTAGACATACTGGTGTTATGGACACTGTAGACATACTGGTGTTATGGACACTGTAGACATACTGGTGTTATGGACACTGTAGACATACTGGTGTGTATGGACACTGTAGACATACTGGTGTTATGGACACTGTAGACATACTGGTGTATGGACACTGTAGACATACTGGTGTTATATGTAGACACTGTAGACATACTGGTGTATGGACACTGTAGACATACTGGTGTATGGACACTGTAGACATACTGGTGTATGGACACTGTAGACATACTGGTGTATGGACACTGTAGACATACTGGTGTATGGACACTGTAGACATACTGGTGTATGGACACTGTAGACATACTGGTGTATGGACACTGTAGACATACTGGTGTATGGACACTGTAGACATACTGGTGTATGGACACTGTAGACATACTGGTGTATGGACACTGTAGACATACTGGTGTATGGACACTGTAGACATACTGGTGTATGGACACTGTAGACATACTGGTGTATGGACACTGTAGACATACTGGACACTGTAGACATACTGGTGTTATAGACACTGTAGACATACTGGTGTATGGACACTGTAGACATACTGGTGTTATGGACACTGTAGACATACTGGTGTATGGACACTGTAGACATACTGGTGTTATGGACACTGTAGACATACTGGTGTATGGACACTGTAGACATACTGGTGTATGGACACTGTAGACATATATAGACACTGTAGACATACTGGTGTATGGACACTGTAGACATACTGTATGGACACTGTAGACATACTGGTGTATGGACACTGTAGACATACTGGTGTTATAGACACTGTAGACATACTGGTGTTATAGACACTGTAGACATACTGGTGTATGGACACTGTAGACATACTGGTGTTATGGACACTGTAGACATACTGGTGTATGGACACTGTAGACATACTGGTGTATGGACACTGTAGACATACTGGTGTTATGGACACTGTAGACATACTGGTGTTATAGACACTGTAGACATACTGGTGTTATAGACACTGTAGACATACTGGTGTATGGACACTGTAGACATACTGGTGTTATAGACACTGTAGACATACTGGTGTATGGACACTGTAGACATACTGGTGTTATAGACACTGTAGACATACTGGTGTATGGACACTGTAGACATACTGGTGTATGGACACTGTAGACATACTGGTGTTATAGACACTGTAGACATACTGGTGTATGGACACTGTAGACATACTGGTGTTATGGACACTGTAGACATACTGGTGTTATGGACACTGTAGACATACTGGTGTATGGACACTGTAGACATACTGGTGTATGGACACTGTAGACATACTGGTGTATGGACACTGTAGACATACTGGTGTTATAGACACTGTAGACATACTGGTGTTATGGACACTGTAGACATACTGGTGTTATAGACACTGTAGACATACTGGTGTATGGACACTGTAGACATACTGGTGTATGGACACTGTAGACATACTGGTGTATGGACACTGTAGACATATTAGTGTTTGTCAGCAACCGGTTCAAAAGTCTGGATGGTTCATGTAAGTATATTCTACATCCTTATTGTGGTAATCATGTTGTTAGTTGTGTATGTGTTAAGAGTAGTAAGTGTGGTGGATGATTATTGCACGGGAAGAATACACACCTTGAAAGATGGCTGGAGACATAGACATACAGAGATGAAAGTAAACATTATGAAGTAGGACTTTCCAGGTGTGAGGACGCCGCAAGGTGTAAGGCAAGTGTTCATCAAGGTAAGGCATGAGTGATGAGGGAGGTCAGCCAGGTGAAGGTGGCCTCACCTCACCAACTGTACCCATCATGTGCTACTGATTTATCACTGTACCAGAAAATATTAAATACACACGATTGATGCATTGTACTGTAAAACAGATGGAAGATTGTGTGGACACATTTTCTAGAGTAATACATATATATTTTAGATGTCGTTATACCAGCATGAAAGAAAAGGTTATTAATTTGTATTCATTTTTTTCACTACAGATGTCAGAACGTATCTCAGCGCAGCGTCTTGGCGCCGAGGCTGAAGGAGCAGTTCCCATCGACCACCCGATGCCTGCTGGCGACGACGACGAAGATTACATAGACACTGGGGCTGCTATTCTAGCCTTCTACTGCACCTTAGTCGACCTGATGGGTCGCTGCGCCCCTGAGGCCAATGTCATTGCCCAGGGCAAGAACGACAGCCTGCGAGCACGCGCCATCCTCCGCTCTCTAGTACCCTTAGAGGACCTCCAGGTGAGCTCTCACTGCCCTAGTGTTGCGCTCTCTTACTTATTGTGTTGTCTCCTTTCCGGCCCCACCGTCTCTCTTATTTATGTAACTAATACTACGGTTAATAAAGGCTGCCAGTTAATGTACCTAGTGAAACTGCAAGCAAGAGCTGTTATCCTACCTCAATTCAACTGAAGCCTGCTCCTGGAGACTCATTTATTTCATGAGAATGTCCTTTAAAACTTATCACATAAAGAACTATCATATAAAGAACCTGGTGAAACTGCAAGCAAGAGCTGTAATCATTCCTCAGCTCAGTTGAAACCTACTTTTAGACGCCCATTTATTTCATGAACCTATTATGAGCATCAATAGGAATAAACTTCATTCATTAAAATATATATTGATATTCACACTTCCTTGGAAGTAAACTACCATTCACCTGGACTGTATGAGTCTCGAACCGCGGACGCTACGCGTGTGAGGCCGTAGTACTATCAACTAGGCCATGAACAGTCTTAATAAAAAGAAGACCGCTCATTTCAGAAGCAGTCTTCAGAAGCAGCATCCTGCTGATAAACTTTCCTTTTTAAGATTGCTCATAGGCCAGTTGTAGTGCTACGGCCTCACACGCGTGAGGTCTGCTGTTCGAGACCCATACAGTCCAGGTAGGATGAGCCTGTAGCCAACTGTGCGCCAGAACCTTCATGTGATCAGTTGACAGGAACAACAACCTGTTGAGCGAACAAGTTCCAGATGCCAGTGAGCCTAATAGTGAATGATCGCTGATGGAGTGATGTTCTTGAGAAGGCACTGCCAGCATTAAACTGTTGAAAGGGTGAGAGCCAAGTGTTATGAGTGCCAACTACTGGTTGTCGACGGAGTTGGGCCAGGTGCGGAACTTTGAGAATGTTGGCCTTGTACATAACAGCAAGACCACCAACGTCACGACGGTGTTGCATAAGTACCTAACCTATAATTCTTTCTATTTTTTAACCTTAGACTAGGGTTCATTAGGACTGTCAGTTAAAGTACCCAGTGAAGCTACAAGCAAGAGCTGTTATCCTACCTCAGCTCATCTGAAGCCTGCTCCTAGAAATTCCTTTATTTCATGAGATGATTGTTTGAAACATAAGTAACCACTTCTCTCTGGTCATCAGCAACCGAGTTGCGGACGATGGAGACAATTCCAGTGAATGTGTAGTGGTGGTCAAAACCTTCAGAGGTTTCAGAACATCAGGAAGATAATGAGTGTAGGTCTCATCCTGTAACTACACTGAGGTACTTACACTTATGTTGGAACATTTAGGTTGTTATACCACGCGCGCGCGCGCGCACACACACACACACACACACACACACACACACACACACACACACACACACACACGAGTATTTACCTAGCAATAAATAGGTACCTGGGAGTTAGACAGCTGTTATGGGCTGCTTCCTCAGGGGTTATGTGTGTGTGTAGGAAAAAAAACCAGTTGATTGATTGACAGTTGAGAGGCTGGTCGAAAGAGCAGAGCTCAACCCCCGCAAGCACAACTAGGTGAATAAACACACACAGTCAGTCCATTAATTGAGATTAATAAAAATGAATATATAAAATGTGAATGATTGCCTTTTTAGGGTGTTTTGTCGCTGCGCTTCACTCTGTCGACGACAGCGGCGGAGGAAGGCCGCAGCGACATCCCTCCCGGCCTGATCCCAGCACACAAGCAGAGTGTTGTGCTCTTCTTGGAGCGTGTCTACGGCATGGACAATGTGGAGCTCTTCTTCCGTCTCCTGGAGGACGCCTTCCTGCCCGACCTCCGCGCCGCCACCTCGCTAGATAAGGTTCCTCATGCTTACATAACTTCTTTACTCTACATAACCAATTTTGATAGACATCAGATTATGTAGAAATATTTGAGAGAATGTTTTCATGCACAAAAAAGCTAAAAATTGAATTCTTTAAGAGTAGCAATGCTAATTTCAGTCCTTTCAATACTAGCGCTGTCTCCTGATGCTTCTCCAGACGACTCTGATGCAAACTGTATATTAATATGGCCTATGTTGGGGTGTTGGAGGTGCTCATTTACACGACAGCTCTCAC